GTCAAGGGAAAGGTGAATAAAATAAAAACAGGGGTGAGGGGACCATGGCACACTGGGCAGGGCGATAGGTGGGGGATTTGGGAGCTGGAGCGGGGGGTGCCCTTCCCTGGGCGTCACATCTCGTCCAGCCCGTAGTCCTCCTCCGGGAAGTCCCCCACCGTCACAACGGATGGCTTGACGAAGGCGCCGTACTTGGCCTGGCACTCGAAGTAGCGTTTCCCGTTCACACTGCAGGACATGGGGCGGCGGTGACCACAGGGCCCTCCACAGCTCCACCCCAGGGGCTGCTGTGGGCGGGCTCGTCACGCATGTATACGCAGACGCACACGCTGCACGCACAGACACACAGATGCCTGGGCTCGAACACGGTTACCTGCCATCATTTTTCCCTAGTGGTTCATCGTAGCGCACACCAACCCAGTATCCAGGCTTGAAATCTGTGAGTCCTGTCCAGGGGAGACATTCTGATGAAACCTCCAGCAGCAGCTCACCCAGGGCCAGTGCCACCAGCTGCCCAGACTAACACAGCTCGGCCCTTCACCAACCTCCCTGCTTCCACCCCAACCCCTTACCCACGCAACATTCCAGCAGGCGGTGGGGAGGCTTTATTAAAAGCTAAGGGAAATAGGGCCCTTCCTGGTGGTGCAACACACAGCTTCAGCACAGGGAGTTCAACCCCCAGCCAAGGAGCCGGCCCACATGGCGCAGCAGACCTCTCCTGTCTCCCCACTGCTTCCCTCAGTAGTGCACTTCATCAGCCTGCCTGTTCGGCCCCTTACTTTGTCTTTGGTGAATATTCTTCCCTCCCGCACCTCTGGCCTGTACCCCAGTTCTGTATGTATCAATAAATAAATCTTTTTTTAAAATCTAAGGGAAATAGCAACAGGCTGCTGTCTTGCCCCAAATTCCTCAAAAGTTGCTCATGCCACATGGCATAAAAGCTAGTTTCTGGTCAAAGATTTTTTGACAAGGGATAATTTGATATGAAAAAAAAAAAGTCTGGAGAACGTGATATCCATATGCAAGAAAGAGAAGCTCAATTCCTTCCTCACACCAGACACAAAAATTACCCAAACTTGGGTCAAAGACCTGAATGCAAGATAGAACACTATAGAACTCTTAGACGAAAATGCAGATGTAAATCTTTGTAACCTTGTAGGAGGCACTGGTTTCTTAGAATATCACAAGCACTAGCAACTAAAGGAAACAGAGAAGTTGGATTTGTAAATATTATAAAAATTAAAAATTTTTGTGCTTCAGATACAAAGAAAAAGCTTTGTATCACAGAACGGAAAAAAAACAACTGCACATCCCATATTTGATCATGGAAATTTATCTAAATATGTAAATACCTTATAAATGTGTTATAATGTAATGGGTTGAACTGTGTCCCCTCAAATCATCAGTGAAACCCTACTTCGCAGGGCCTCCCTGGTGGCACAGGGGTGAACGTCTCAGCAGCTACTGCAGGCTGAGTTCAACCCCAGCCAGGGAGTGACCCACAGGGCGCAGCAGACCTCTCCAGACCTGCCCGCTGCTCCCCTCAGCAGTGGATTTCAGTACATCTGCCTGTTCTGCTCCCCACTCTGTCTCCAGTGAGTCGTCTCACCCCCTGCACTTCTGGCCTATACCCCAGTTCTTGCACGCATAAATAAATACAACTTTAAAACAAACAAAAAACCCACACCGGCATGGCTCCCCAAAGTCAAATGTCCATCACTGAGGGAGAAATAAAATAATGTGGAATCACATGTCCATATAATGCGATGTTTTTAAGCAAGAAAAAGAGGCATTGTACTGACATACTACAACTTGGACAATCCCTGAAACATCAAGTTAAAGAAGCCAGTCACCACAAATGGCAGGAGGGCAAACATCCAGAACAGGCACATCGACAGACGGAACATGGACGGTGGCTGCCTAGGCCGTGTGTGTGTGTGTGTGTGTGTGTGTGTCTGTGTCTGTGTGTATGTTCGTTCAGAAATGGAGAAATGGCTGCTAATGGTTCTAGGGTGTCTTTTTGGAATGATGAAATGTTCTGAAATTGTGGTGAGAGCTGCACAATTCTGCAGCACTCTAAAAGCCGGTGAACTGTACACTTTAAGAGGGTGAGTAGGGTGGCACGGCATGTGGACTGGATCTCGGCAGAGCTGTTACTGAAGAGCCACACTGCTCGCCCAGGCCCCCGAGGCGCCGCATGCCAGCCTCTGTGCCCTCCACCTCCCACGCTCTCCCCACTGGCACACTGCCTGCTCCCAGCCACCAGCCCTGCTCCTTCTGCTGGGAACACTCTCCTCTCCCGCTCCCTTCCCCTGGCTCACTGCTCCCTTTCCTTCAGACAGTCCTTCCCCCAGGAAGCCCTCCAGGATCACCCTCAAGACGAGCCCAGCGCCCGTCACCCCTGCAGATCACTTTGGCTGTGCTGCCCCATCACAGGCAGTGTCGCTGCTGTGAGGGTTTCGCACCTCTGGCCACGGCACTCCGCGCTCTCTCCTCTAGGGCCTGCTTCTCCCGTCATATCCAGGTGGGTTTGCCTGTGTCCCACTCCCTGCTGTGAACCCTCAAGCTGTGACCCCTTGCCGCGTCTGTCTCCCCCAGTGGGCTCGGGGGGCCACTTACCTACATACATGACAGTGCCCCGGCGAGGGGGCTGCCCGAGCACCTGCACCTCACAGCGGCTGCCCACGGGGATGGCGCCGGCCTGGGTCTTCTCCTCACTTAGGCGCTGGGCGGCCTCGGCCTCTCGCTGCGCCCGCTCCTCTTCATTGTACCGGCCCAGCTTGCTGCGCTTCAGGAAGGAGCGGACCGAGTCTGTGGCGTGAGGGGTGGGGTCAGATGTGGTCTTCAGGGTGGGGCCGCTGGTCTAATGAGATCATCTTTCACCCAGGCAGAGGCAACATTCAGAAAGAAACTCCGACTCTGGGTGTGAAAGGGCCCCCAAACCCTGGCTTCTCCACACGAAACACCTTTGGGGCCTCCCCGCTACCCAGAGGTAATGGGAAGATGCTGCCTCAGCTTTCCCCTGAGGCCTCCTTCCCACGTCCCTTCACATTCGCTTTTAAAACCTTGGTTTCCCCATCACGTGCTCTCATCTGTCCCCACGTGGCTTCACTGATGCCCCCACTGCCCTGTCTATTCCACATATGCTGCCAAGTGCTCCCCTCACACACCTCCTCCCCCCTCCAATCACATACCCAACCTCCCTCCACTTTCTCAGGTCCCACATCCCCTCATTTCTCCCAGCCCCTATCTGACACCCCTCGTTCCGTCTACCCTCAACTACGGTCCCGTGTTCCCAGCCCCATTATCCCAGCCCGTCTGCCTCTGCCCTTCAGCTCCTGTCAATATCCCGCCAGCCTGTCTGCCAATACCCAGCCCTACCTGCACACACTCTCTGGCCTCCACATGCCCCCGTTCATCCCTGCCCGCCGACAATCTCCCCCACCCCCCACATACCTTGCCTCTGGTCATAGGCTTCTTGTGAGACCTCGTATTTCTCGACCTTGGACACATCCTCATACTCTCCTAGGCGGGCACCACTGTGATCGATGACCTGCAGTCGCAGGAGGGAGGTGAGTGGGGCCCACAGTTTGCTCACACACCAGAATGTTCCTTAAGTCTCTCCCAGCTCGGAAAATAGCTGGAGGGCTAAGAACAGGTGTCTGTGCTGGCCACCTCCCCTTCCACACCCCATCCTGTCCAAGTCCCTGGAGGCTGCATCAGCCACAGGAACGACCCCCACGTGACAGCGTTCACATCACTGAAGGCCCAAGTCACCAGCACCGAAGGCAGAGCTCAGGCCTTGTCCTCTAGTCCGCTGGCCAGGGAACTTGTTTTCTCTGCACTCCAGGACCCTCCTCAGCCAACTCCAACCATTTCTTCATGTACCATCCCCAACAGTCATTCACTCATCACGTGCAGGGCTCCTCTAAGGAGCCTTGTGCTGGGTGCTCAGGACACTGTGCAAAAACAGACCAGCCCCAGCTCTCAAGGACACTCATTCCACTGGGGTTCTGGCCATAAGCAAGTGCCTGGTGAGTATTTAAACACCAGATGATGGCACAGGTCTATGCAGGAAAGCACCAGAGAGGGCAGTCAGGGAAGGCTTCCTGGAGGAGGATGAAAGGCCCACAGGAACCAAGTCCTGGATGTAGGACTATAGACAGCAGGGAGGCAAGGGTGGCCGATGAGGGGGGCTGCAGCAAAGTGTGCTGGGCAGTGGGAGACACAACCTTCCTTGAAGTGTCTCAGATGTCAGAGGCCTGTCTATACCAGAAACCATGTGTGAAACCCTCCTGTTTCAGGGTGCCACCCCCCCAGGCCTGACCCACCAGTATCCTTAGGGTGAAACTGCCCAGGTTACCCCAAAGTCTCGGCGCTGTGGGTCAGCATAATTCTGACTGTTCCCACAATGGTCCAGGTTCTATTTTATCTGAATTATGGAAACAGCCTCCTTCCTGGGCTTCCCATTCCCCCTTTCCTGCCCAGTCTATTCCTCACACACAGAGGGAGTCTGTGAACACTTCAGTCAGACCAGGCCCTTCTTTGCTCAGTCCTCCTTCAGCTCCCACTTCCCTCCACCTCAGGTGTGGCCATTCCTTAGTCTCTTGTACCCACTGTGTTTGCTGCTACCTCATAGTTCTGCACATGCTGTGTCTGCCCCCTTCCCATTCTTCAGATCTCTCTTAGAGTAGCACCTCCTCCAGGAAGTCCTCCCAGATTTTGCTATTGGGTCAGGTTCCTCAGTATAGTCTTTCCCAGCCACATGTCTCCTCTGCATTACCCTCATTTCATTGATCTTTCCCATTTGGTCCTGTGAATATGTAGTAACATCTCCCTTTCACACTGGACAGAGCTAAAACACCTACTCAGATGTGGCTTACTGCTATAACTCTGGCATAACACTTACTAAAAAATGAAAGAGATTAGGAAAAAAGACAAAAACCAACTTCCAGAGTCATGCAGACTGCGGTAAAGGGTAGTCTGTTCTACCCTGAAGCTAAGTTTTCTGTAAAACAAGATTAATGATGCTGGCCACCTAATCTTATTTTATGGAGTCAAGCCATCATTCAACAATGATTCACTAAACATCCTCACTGTGCCAGGCATTGTTCCATGTATGGGAGTGGAGGTGGGGAGGATGCACTGTATGTCACAACGTGATGGTAACCATGGTCAAAACTCAAATATAGTGGAAAGGGAGAAGGCTTAAATTTTATACTGAGGTCAATGAACGCTTCACATTTGGAAGGCGACCTTTAAGTAAAGACTGGAGAAAGGTGTGTCGTGTGAGTATATAAAAAGAACCACACAGGCACAGGGTATATAGCTCATGCAAAGGCCCTGTGGTGGGGCTCACGTGAGGCGCTGTGATGTCTAAGGAGCATGGGGAGATAAGGAAGGAGGGGATGACAAGTATTTCCAGCTTCTCCCAACAATTAAGCCGCATCCCCTCCCTGACCCACCTCTTGTTCTAGGCCTCTGTACACAGTTCCCTGCACCTGGCACGCCCCTCCCATCTCTTCTCCCAAGTCGTCCTTTTTTCATCTTTCAGCTTGGGCATCTCTTCCTTCAGGAAGCCCCTTCTGATATATTCCGCTTAGAGTCAGACACCTCTTATGGGTGCCCCCAGATATCTGGGCTTTCCCTGACCCGATCTAGCCTATTCTGGCTGGCTGTCTCCATGCTGGGCTGGGGATTCCATGAGAGAAGGGGCTATCACACAACACGGAACAAGAAGCTTATGTTGAATAAATAAGAGTGGGGGAGGAAGAACCACAGGGAGGGAGGTCTCACGTGGATGCGGCAGCCGTCGTCCACTGGGTACGAACCCAGCAGTGCATCCTCCTGATCCAGCTTGCTGTAGAACTTGTCGTCAACGCCATACAGCTCCAGCTCCATGCAAGACGCAGGGCTGCCCACCACCAGCTCTAGTTTACACTGCAGGGGTGGGCGGTGGAGTGGTGAGGGGAAGGCGCTCCGAGGCCCCGCCCCGCCCACCGAGCCCCCGCCCCGCCCATGCCCCGCCCCCGCCGAGGCCCCACCCCGTGTGTCAATAACCTACATCCCATCCAGCTCCTCCAAGGGACCACCTCGTAGGACCTAGCAGGTTCTCTCTGGCCCGCCCCCTCTGGCCCCGCCCCCTTCTCTGGCCTCCGCCCTCTGGAGCCCTGCTTCTCCAGGCCCCGCCCTGATTCTCTGGACCCTCAGGTTCCTTCTGGCCCCGCCCCCCCGAGGCCCCGGCCGGGATCTCGGACACCTCGCCGCCCTCCCAGCATGCGGGAAGCCCCTCTGTTTTTTCTGTGCCCCGCCCCTCCGGAGCCCGCCACCAAGGCCACACCTTGAATTCAGCTATCGTGAGGCTGCGACTGTATCGCTTCTCGGAGCGGAAACTGTTGAGGGAGCTGCTGATGAAAATGGTCACGGTCGGGGCCGACAACCCTGTTACCTCCATCTCGCCGCACCCTGCCGGGACCGGCAGGCAGCCCAGTCAGCCGCCTCACACCGGCTCCGCAGCCGCCGCCGCTTGATCTGGGCTACTAGTCCCGCCCCCTGCTCAGACTGGCCAATCCACGCTCTCTTGCAAGGAGGCTCCGCCAATCGGCGCCGCCTCCCTTCCTCCGCTAAGAATAGGGCTCACCGGTAGGACTGGCTAATCCTGAGGGGGCGTGCCTGGAGCACAGTTCTTCCAATAGCGGCTCGAGAAACTGCCGGGGCGGGCGAAGGCTGAAGCCGAGAGGAAGGACTGGCAAGGTATCCCTGTGGCGAACTGTGAACTCGCGCATGTGCACTGACCTCCAGCCCGCAGAGAGCAATGGCTTCTATTTCTGCTTTGCGCTTTGCGGCCTACGTGGTGCATAGTATTTGCAGTCATAGACTGTTCTATAAACTGGAGGTTCAGGGCCCCCCAAGTTGAAACAACTGCTCTAGGGTATCGAGATGGAAGTAATCAAGGCTCAGCGCTGACGGCAGAGCACAAAGACCCTGGAAACCAGAAGGTGCGCGCTGCCCCGCCCCCTTTTGGCGAAGCGACTAAGTCTGACCCTTCTCGCGACCGGTCGCGGGGCGGATATCTGGCAGATGGCTCGGCGGGCTGTGCGTCGCTATGGAACCCGACGGCACCTACGAGCCGGGCTTCGTGGGTATTCGATTCTGCCAGGAATGGTGAGCCTGGGGAAGCAAGTATGACAGGGGAGCAAGTAGTAGCCCCAGGGTTGATGTCTCATCCTTTCTCCCCACAGCAACAACATGCTTTACCCCAAGGAGGACAAGGAGAACCGCATTCTGCTCTACGCCGTGAGCACGAAGCCGCCGGGCGCCCGGGCTTCCCCAGATGGGCGGGCGGGTTCCCGGCGTGGCGTCGCCCTACTCCACGTGACCCCCGCGCCCAGTTCATCCCCAACCATCCGCCCCATAACCCTCCCCCGCGTGACCCACCTCTTCCGTCCTTTCCGCCCCCAAATGGCGCGACACCCCATTATTCCCAACTTGGGGACGCCCCCCCCACCCCCACCGGGAAGACCCTGCTTTTTGACTTATCAGGGGCCTCTGACAGCCCCTTCCCTCCCCTTCGTGCTCTCTCGCAGTGCCGGAACTGTGATTACCAGCAGGAAGCTGATAACAGCTGCATCTACGTTAACAAAATCACACACGAAGTAGAGTGAGTTGATGGGACCAAATTTGGGGGACTGGGTGGTTGGTTCGGAGCCCTGGTCTGAACATAATTACCCTCCAACCCCGCAGTGAACTGACCCAGATCATCGCTGACGTGTCCCAGGACCCCACATTGCCACGGACCGAGGACCACCCGTGCCAAAAGTGAGCCGAGCCCGCCGCGGGTGCAGGGGAGGGGACGTGCCGGGCGGGCGGGCGGGCGGGCGGGCAGGCGAAAGGCTGAGAGCTTGCCTCCCCAGGTGCGGCCACAAGGAGGCGGTGTTTTTCCAGTCGCACAGTGCTCGGGCTGAGGTGAGTGGCACAGGAAAGTCTGTATCCTGAGCTTGAGCCTTCCCCAGGGTGGAGACACTAGTACTGGGGGGACCTTGCCCTTCTTGACAGCCCCCATGCCTGTTCTTTGGGGGCGAGGCTTTGCTGGATGGAGGCTCCTGTACCCATTTAACGGGCATCCTTTCTGGCAGGATGCCATGCGCCTGTACTACGTGTGCACCGCCCCACACTGTGGCCACCGCTGGACCGAGTGAACCCTCTCCCTGATTGTAATAAATGCAGTGTTCTGTGGGTGCGTGTCCTCTGTTTATTTGCCTCATGGGTGATACTCTGGGAGCAGTCTCAGGCCGAGCGGTGCAAGGCTCGGTGCTGCGCGTAGGCTTCAGGCCTGGCGCTGGTGAATCCGCAGTCTTCACAGACGTGCAGCTTCTCCCGCCGCTCCCGATAAGCATAGCTGGCTGGCTGCCCGTGCACCTTGGCAAGATGCGCTTCCAGGGAACAGCGCTGCGTAAATGCTTTCCCGCAAGCCCCACAGCGGAAGGGCCGAATCCCTGTGCATTTGAGCGAGGGGAAGGCAGACACAGCCGTAGGCTCCAGACCAAAATGAGCCCACTTTGCAAACCTTCCTGTCCTCTTCCCACTCCAAGCCCACCAGACTTCTCCGCCTAGGCCCACCATGTTCCTTCCAGCTCGTGTAGAATGGGCAAGATTCCCATGCCCCGCCCTCCTCACCGGAAGGTTCCTTCCCTTTCAGGGAGGGAAGGAGGCTCTCTGTCACACCTTCAATCTGGAACCTGAATCCTATAGCTGCCACCTGTCTTCACTCAAGTCCCCCGATGGCTAAGTCTCCACCCCACATGCACTCTGGCAACTCCACGTCCCAGGCACCTCCACTTGTCAGCGCATCTCTGCCCAGCCCCGCACACCCTCCCCGCGCTGCTGCTGCTCACCGGTGTGCGTCCTCATGTGGCGCTTGAGGTCGAAAGCATCGTGAAAGCCTTTGCCGCAGCAGCGGCAAACGTGGCGGCGAGCGGGGCTGTGGCACTTGAGGTGCCGGGTCAGCATGCGCTGCAGTGGGAAGGCCTTGGGGCAGAGGGGGCAGCGGAGTGCCCCAGGGCCCCTGGGAGTGGCGGCCAGCGTGCCCGGTGCGGGCTGGAGGAGGAACACAGGAGATGGTGGCCACTCCGGCTGGCCTCTGCCCCTGGTTACAGAGTGCCCAGAACCAGGACTCGGTCTGAGGGGGTGAGAGGCTGACAAAGGTCACCTCTCCGGGCGGTGCTTCACCACCAGGCCCACCCTTACCTTGCTTAGAATAGCTGACCCTTGGACCACGGGGATTAGGGGCATGGACTCCCACCCAGTAGGGAGTCCACAAAGAACTTATAGGTCAGCCCTAGGGTAGCCCGTGCTCCATGTTCACAGATTTAACCTCCAGACAGCCGAGGTTGGTTAGACAGGCCACCTGCGCTTGCCCGCCCTGGGGAAACGGTGCATGGGATGAGGCCTAAAAGCAAACCTGGGCTCAGAAAGGGAGGGCATGCCGCAGAGGCAGAACTCCAAGGCTGCCGGGGTGTGTGCACAAATGGCGGGGGGAGAAAGGGGCAGTCAGGTTCCCTGGGGGCTGAGACTGGGTAGGGTTAAATTTGAGCAGGGACTTGTGGGCCAGCTGCAGACTCACCACCACCCAGGAGTCCCTGTAGCCAGAAGATTGGGGTGCGGGTGAGCCCCCAAGGCTGCTGCAGTCTGAGGAGAGAAGCCAGATGGTGATGCTTTGTGTCTTCCCTGCCCCTCACGTCCAGGCCCAGTGAGGGGGGGCCCACCTGGGACATAGGCATCTCCCCGGAGCTGGTCAGGTAGATGGCCCCAGTTGGGGGGCTGCGGACGCCGGCTCCTGACCAAGAAGGCTCGGGGCATCACCTCGAGGAGGGTGCGATGGCTCCACACTAGGCTGCCTGCACCTGCTGTCAGACCTCAGCCCCTTGAGCGCTGTGTGGGGAGGGGCGGGCCCGGGAGCTCATTATCCCCATGCAAATGTCAGGATGGGACGGAGCTGACTCCTGGGATCCAGTTTCCCCTGCCTAGGGCCACCCTTTCTCCCCCTGCTGTTCCCGGCCAGCCGCTAGCCCCAAATGGCAGACATGCACTAGGACCCCCAGAGAGGGTCAAGCATGGAGACAGGAGCCTAGGCAGTTCTAGGGGGTGAGGGCACTGGGGGTGTTAAGCGCCTTCCCCAGTAGTAGGGTCCCTTTGCCAGGCAAATCAGTCACCTCCGGACACCCAACATCCTGCTTAGTTACGCAAATCACAGCTTGCCCAGGAAGCCAGGAGGGGCTACCTTGATTGCCTTGCTCCAGGGGGTGGAGGTCCCCCAGGAAAGGCCATGGCACACCCAGGTGTGTGTGTTCAGCTCAGCTCCTCTAATCCTCAGATACCCAAGGCTGATCGTCAACCGGAAGCATAGGTCACATGTTTTGGACACTGAAACACCAATTTGTGGGGCCCTCCCTGGTGGCACATCGGGTTAAAGCGCAGCACTATGAGGCTATCGGTAGCCACTGCAGCAGGAGTTCGATCCTAGGACAGGGGGCTGAAGTTGACCTTTCCTGACCTACTTGCTGCCCACCTCAGCAGTGTATTTCAGTAGATCTGCCTGTTTGCTCTCCTCTGTCTGGTGAATTCTTTCACACACCCCGCCACCCCGCACCTCTGGCCTGTACCCAGTTCTTGTATGCATAAATAAAAAACAAACCTTTAAAAAATAACAACAAAACACCAGGTTGTTACGGGCCCAGCTAAGTGACCAACCAGTCACCACTCCTTCACTCCCCTCCCCACCCCAGGAACTGAAGGGGTTCAGGTGACACAGCCAGGGGCTTCCAGAACCTACCCCCACACTCCAGCTAGGCGGTGTTCCAGATCAGTCACTGTCTGACTCTTAAGAAGGGGTGATGAATTTTGAATATTCCCATGCAGCTCTCTCTCAAATCCACCCCCACCCCAACTTTCTGAGCCCCAACGCGGGCCAGGGCTAGCGCAGTACTGATGAAATCTGCGTTGTCCTTGGGGGGGACAGGCAGGGATGGGGAAATCCAGTAGGTCAGGGGTAGGGGAGCCTGGAGGGCAGACGAGGCCCTGCCTCAAGGTCTGGGGTGTGAGCCCTGAAAGAGTTTAGGCTGATGGGGAGAGGGGCCGTCTACACCACGACCTGGGCTCCGAGGCAGGGAGCGGGAGCCTTCAGGAATAGGTACTATCGGGCATCTCTCCTAACACCAACATCAAGGATTTTATTTAGGAAAATAAATTGGTGAATGCTTCTTGGGGGGGCCCCGTACCCCTCCAGTCCCCCCCAGCTCACGCCTTCCCAGCCATCCCGGCGTTCGTTTCCCTCACACCTATGTGATCTTCCTCCTCCTCCTGTGGGGCTGGATCCTTTCCCAAGATGCCACGTGGGCTCAGGGGAGATGTTCGCTCACAAAGGCCTCTCCACCCCTCTTCAGCCGGCCGGTGAACCCCCTCAGTTAGATATATCCTGAATCCCGTGTTGCACCTCTAGAAGGTAAATGCCACGATAGCAGGCTCTGCCTGTCTTGACCCTCACTCTTCTAAGGCGGAGAACATGACAGGAATCCCGGGCCTGGCAGGATCTTCTCAACCTCTGCTCAGTGGACCCAGCGGTGCCAGTGTCTGGAGGGCGCAGGGGAACATGACTGTGCCCCAGGAAGGCCTAGCCAGAGTCTCAGCATGAAGGCCTGGGCGAGATGCTGGCTCTGAGCCCCTTCCTGGGGGGCGGGGCAGGACCACTGGAGCAGGACTCAGGAACTCCCACCCCCCAAATGACTTCCTGACGTGGGACCCTCGGGCCAGAGCCTTCCTAGGGGCCCGAAGCCTGCTGCCTGGGGAGGCTGGTACCAGCAATGGTCGCTCAGGGGAGGCTGGGGCTGCTGGGCAGCCTGGCCTGCTGCCTGGACTGTCCATGGGCTGAGCCTGCCTCTCCTCAGTCGCCACTGCTACAGATGGGGACAAAGCCTGACTTCCAGGATCCAGTGTGGGCCGTGCTTCGGGGCGCGGCAGTGTATACCAGGGGCCAGTGCCTGGCACATGTGACGCCACTGTCCTTGGACTTCAGTGAGGCAGGACAGAAGGGCAAGCCCCTCCCTGGGCACCACTGGTGCGCGGGGGCTGGATGACGGGAGCCAGGCGCTGGGGTCATCACTGCAGTTTGCACGCTCCTCGGTGTGCTGGCCCGTGCTCCCGCTAACGGAGTCCTGGCGCAGGGCCTGGCAAGGCATACTGGAGCTCCAGGGCTTTGCTCTCCACCCTCCCTCTCTGCATTCATCTGAAGGGGGCCGTGTGATGCCAGGAGAGCACCAGGATCTGTTCCTCCAAGCTGTCGGTTTATTTGTTTAAAACACCTGTTTCTTCAGGAACAGCAGTGCCAAGGCGGAGGCAGGCGGCTGCCCTCAGCGCCCCTGCACCTTCCTCTGCACGGTCTGCACTAGCAGCTCTGAGTAGTGCTCCAGCAGGGCGCGCAGATCTGGGCTGGCCAGGGGGCACAGCGTGGGCGGGGAGGGGGCGCCCAGGCTGGGCAGGGCCCGGGCTGAGACCCCATCAGTCCCCATCAGCCCGTCGTTGGCCTCTAAGTGGCTGTGGATCCAGAGGAAGGTGGAGGTCAGGTCAGACTGGGCCTGCTGCTGCTCGGTGCTCACCTGGTCACTGGACACTATCTGCAAGGGGAGCCACTGGTTAGGGGCCATCCCGGCCAGGCGCTGCCAGGCAGTCCCCTCGGCCCTCTCCCTGATGCTGGGGCTTGACTCACCAGGTGGTACAGTTCCAGGGCATCTTGAAAGGCCACCTGCAGTCTGTGCACAACAGTCCCCGCACTGCTCAGCTCACAGGGGGGAGCGGGCAGGACCCTAGGTGGCAGCCTGGGCTCCCCCCAGTGTCCAGGACTGCCTGGGACCAGCGCACCTAGGGGTAGAGGGGAGCAATGAGAGTGACGGCTACTTTCCAGCTGGCTGGAGAGAGGCCGGGGTGTCTCTTGCCTCAACAAGTTCCCAGTTCCGGGGCTCCCCTCCCCTCTGTAGGCCTCTGATCAGAAGCCACCATGTCCCTGCAGTCTGTCTCATCATTATATTTAAAACTGGAACCAGGGGTCACTCTCTAAACCCTGTCTCCGATTTCTCTCAGCACTGCCCCATGCTCTAGGGCCCAGAGCAAAGGCCCACAGGTATGAGCGCTCACCAAACAGCTAAGTGAGCAGGCAAACAACCGGATGGCACAGGTCCGGGGCAGGTCAAGTGTCTGCATCTGGTGCGAGGAGGTAACACCTGTCCCCACTCACCAGGGCTGGACTCCAGGAGGGAGGTGAAGCTTCCAGGGATCTCGGGTGTGGCCTCTGGAGGTGTGGGGCTGTTGGAGTGAGCAGGGAGCTCAGGGGTCAGGAGACTTGAGACAAAGGCAGAGGTGAGGAGTTTTGGGGTGCTCCCATCCACAGGGCTGGAGGCTGGGCAGCTGGCTGTCGAGGCTATCGAGTTGGGCTGGGTGGCCATGGGCTCCTGTGTGTGGGGTATTGCCAGCAGGGGTTGGGGCAGCAAGAGTTTGTCACAGACGCTTGACAGGGTCAGTTTCAGGTTGGCTCGGGCCTCATGGTTGCCCCAGGGTGGGAGAACAGGCCCTGGGTCCTCACTGTCAGAATCCAGTGCCGTTGTGGTAGTGATGGCCTGGAGATCCTGGCTCAGGGTGACCAGCTCCCCCATGGAGGAGGGTCTGCGGAGGGGCCTGGCCAGCTCAGCCAGATCAGGGTCCTCACTGTCCTCGAGGGAGATGCTGCGTGATGCCTTGGCACGGGAGTTGTCCGTGGCCTCCATGAAGGGGCAGGGGGAGGAGGTGCGGCGACCCTGAGCCAGGTCTGGGGTGGCTGCGGCCGTGGGTGTCAAAGGATTCCTGTCTGGGAGCAGCAACGCAGAAGAGGGGAGCCAGGGTGGCAGGCCTGTGAGGCTGGGGTCTGTAAAGAAAACGGTCAGCTCACTCTCCACACTGCTGCAGAGCTGGACAGGGTGGCTACGGCGTCTGCATGGCCCTTGCCCATCCACCCCTGGATGAGCTGGGCACCATGTGCCACAAAGCCCGGGACTGCTCATCTGGGGACGCAGGCACTCACTCATTGGGTACCAGGCCTCCATGGAATCGTGGGGCTCCTCGGCCTTCCCTCCAGAGAGCATCTGCAAGCACAGCCCCGAGGTGAGGACAGGGCCCCCGCTCCCATCCCTTGTCCCGTGGGAGGCCCCGACACTCACACTGGTCCTGCCTGGGGAGGTGTGACCAGGCCTGGCTTTCAGGGGCTCTGCTCTGGACTGGCTCCTCCGATGGTCGGTGAGTTTGGCCTCTGGGGACTTCATGAGGTGCAGCGACAGCCGAGGGGGGAAAGTGTTGGTGAATCTGTGGGAAGGAAACAAAGCCTGTGTCTGAGGGGACCCAGCCCGCCCTGGGGGGACTCAGAGAGCTGGGAGGTGGGATGGGGACTCACTGGCCCACCAGCTCCTACCTGGATGTCTTCTGGAGGCGAGAGAGGAACTGGGCTGAAATGCTCAGCCGGGGATTGAAGTAGTAGTCCTCGGCCTCAGAGGCCTTCACGTCTCTCAGCGACCCGTGGAAGAGCTCTATGGGGAGAAGCCAAGGGAGCCCTCAGAATCCCCCCATAGCCGGCCCCAGGCCTAGGCCGACCCAAGATGGGCAGGCAGACCCTCCGGCATGGCCAGCGGAGCAGGGAGAGGACCGCAGCCCAGTCCTTCCAGTAAGATGCATGGCCTCCTGCCCACCCTCCCCAGCCCCCCAGGAAAAGCCCCCCAGGTGGGGTTCAAGAGGGGCAAGACCCTACCCTCAGGGTGGGCGTCAGTCAGCGTCTCGAAGTGGTGGCGAAGGAACTTCTCCTGCTCTGGCGTCTGGGGCAGGGAGCTGCTGGGTATGCCGGGCACTTCGGGCCGGGCCAGCTCCTCCGTGGTGCCTGGGCATCCTGGGGAGAGGCAGGAGGTGGGAAGAGGCGGCGGGAGAGCAGTCACAGCGTGAGTCATGCAGACGCCCCGACAGAGACGCCAGGTGCCCCACGGTGAAGAAAGCTGACGCGCCCTCACACACCCTGTCGCCCAGCCCAGGACAGGCTGGCGACTCTCCGCCCAGCAGAGGAAGCTGAGCCTCAGCGGATGCCCGCGCGCAGCTGACATGGTGCCAGTCACACGCCGTGGCCATCGCCAGCCAGGCCCAGGCACTGCCCTTGTCCTTGCCCGGCCCCGGCCTACCTGGGGTGGGGGACACCATCACGTCAGAGCGCAGCTCTGGGCCCAGCAGTGGGGGCGAGGAATGGACAGCGGCAAAGCTGTACTCCACGTCGGCCTCTGACTCCCCCGAGTCTGGAGGAACAGAGAGGGGTGGGGCGGTGTGGCAGTGTCCGGAGTCCAAGGCTGGACCCTTAGGGGAGTGAGGTGAGTGGCTCAGTTTCGGTCTCCGTCTCCGGACTGAGGGTGTTGCTCCCTTCCCCCGTTTTGATGAACCAACAAGGTTACACTTGGAGAAGGCGGCGAAGCTGGGCTCTCAGTGGTGGGCAGTTGGGCTCCAGAACCCTCAGGCAGCAGCAGAGACTGTGTCTGTCTGCAGGTCACCGTCAGGACCCACGAAGGGGCTGGTTGAACGAACAGACTCACAGAGACCCTGCTACCCTCACTCACCCTCAGGTGGGCTCAGGTCCTTGCAGTCGACGGAGGAGGCCCTGAGGTAGGGGTCACCTTGCTGGTCTCCAGATGCCCCCCCTACTTCCTGCTCACTGTATCTGCTGCAGCGCCAGTGTGGGGGAGGGAGAACGAGAAGACACTAATTAGTAAGCTGGTCCCACTGGAACCCTTAGATCAGCACCCCGTTCCTACAGGGAGCATTGCCTGGCCTCGCCTGCCTCTGCAGGAGGCCCCTGTACCTCCACCAGGAACCGAGGAGACTGAGGCCACAGCTGAGGCTGCAGGCCCGGGCTCCTGCCCCATCACGGCCTCACCCCTCTGCCCACGCTTAGGCTCACCGAGAGGACGGACAGAGGTTCTTCCAGTTCTTGCCTCCGACTAAGAATCCCTTTGACCCAAAGGACACCCACCTGCCTGTCCCTGTGAGTGTCACCTCCGCCTCCAGCGAGCCGACGAGGAGCTGGTTGGCCTCCGAGGACTCCCTCTGGGGGGGCAGGAAGGAGGAAAGCCCGCAGCCATTCTCCTGGGGACTCTCTGACTACGGATGAGGGGAGCGTGGTTGTTCTGAGGCAGCCACGAGGCCTGCAGCCAGCCCCGAAGACGGCAGCAGTGAGGCAGTCGGCGATGCTGGCGGCCCCCTGGCTGGACCTGTGCCCAGTGCTATGCTCACCAGGGGCTCACCCTGGGCTCCCCTGCTGGGCCACTGCCCCTCTCCAGGTAAGGGGTAGGGATGGCTCTAGCCCTTTACGAGTCTATGTGAAGTTCAAGAACAGGAAAACCAAGAGAGGTCGGAACTGGCGGGAGGGGGTACTGGCTGGAAGGGCGCCAAGGGCCTCTGGGAGGCAGCAGACACCGGTGTGCGGTGTGCGGGTGTGCGGATGCAGGTGTGTACACTGGTAACAATCTGTCGAGTTGTGTTGCTACCACTGGCACATAACTGAAGGTATGCCACAGGCAAAGTGAAAATGTAAATAACAGAAACAAATTTCTTTTGTTTGGAAAAACCAGAGTAAGAGCTACCACAGTACCTCGAAAGGTCCAGGTCGGGTTCTCCCCACTGGATGCCTGTGATAGAACTTCTTCAGACTAAAACCGACGCTCGGAGAGCAGCTTGCCCCAAGTCACACACCCAGGCCTCATCTGCCCAGACCCAGGCCTGCCCTGGGGCCCGAGCTCTTACGTCCCGAGGCACTCGCCTCCCAACAGTCAGCGGAGGTCTCCCTGCAGGCCGGGCTCGCCCTCCTGTCCTTCGCCATCTCCCGCAGTCCTCTCCCAGCCTGGAGCGGGCGGCCAGGCACGACCCGAGCCAGAGCGCCGGGCCGCACGTACCTTGCTCAGCAGGCCCGCCAGGTTCTGTGGCTCCAAGCCATCCATGGTGGAGTCATCGAGGCTCTCCGGCTTCATGGGGGTGAAGCAGCAGTCCAGGTTCCGGGCATCCAGGAGGGCCTTGAGGGGCTCCTGGTCGGCCCGCTCCGCCCAGCGGCCGTGCGGCTGGTAGCTGCGCTTGGTGTGGAAGCTGGAGCCTTCTGACACGTCGTCGTCTCCCAGCTGAGGGTGAGGGGCTGCATCAGACGGGGCTTGCCGCTCCAGCGAGGGCAGGGGCGCCCGTGACCTCATCTCTGGAACAACTTCCGGACACGCATCTCCAGTTCGAGCCCCCCTGTTGTACACCACGTGGCCACCTCAACTCTGCATGGTGAGAGCAGCTCCTGGTCTTTCCCCCCAAGCCTTCCCGACCTCAGCTGCTCAGGCCCCAAACCCCGAGGTCAACTCTCTTGCCGTCTCTTCTGTCCCTCAGGCCCCACGCTGTATTTTGCCAGTGAGCGTTGCCATCCAGATATACCCATGACACGGCCACTCGTCCTCCCGGCCCCTGCTCCTGCCCCACGTGGCGCCCTCCCTCCCAAGTGCTGCCCCTACTAGTGCGCCCCTGAGAGCCAGGGGAGGGTGGCTGTTGGAGATCACGGGCTTGGAGCGGCTCTGCCCCACCGCCTCCGTTTGCTAGCGGCGGGGACTGGGACAGGCTGCGTGCCCTCTCTAGGCTGGAGTTTCCCTGGCTGTGAAATGGGGACTATGGACAGCGTGAACTTCAATGAGGATTAAGCGAAGCAAGACAGGCGGAAGCTTCAGGACTAGGCCCGCACAGTAAGCATGCGGTAAGTGTTGAGCTGGGGCCTCACAGAGCATGGACAGAGGCCTGACCTGTGCCCAGGGGAGGGTGGCAGGGGAAGCTTCTAACTTGCTGAGTTTTTTTATTTTTTCAAAAATATTTATTTAGGGCCCTCCCTGGTGGCACAACGGGTTAGGACACAGCACTGCAAGCGAGCCACAGCCGCTTCACTGCACGTTTGATCCCCAGCCCCGGAGGTGACCCACAGGGCGCAGCAGTCCTCTCCTGTCTCCCCCACCCGCTGCTCCCCTCAGTAGAGCACTTTGTTGATCTGCCTGTTCTGCTCCCCACTCTGTCTCTGGCGGATCCTCTCACCCCTGCACCTCTAGCCTGGACCCCAGTAATGTACATATAAATAAAGAAACCTTAAAAAAAAAATGAACAAAGAGCATGGAGGGAGGCTCCCCTACTTTGCCAGCCCCCGGCATCCTGCTCTCTTGTGGACTCACCAGTCGCTTTGCCCAGAGTGGCAGCTTCCCGTTGGTCAGCAGGCACTGAGGCCCTGGGGAGACACACAGGACTCACGAGAAGAGAAGAAACTGCCCAACAGACAAACAGGCAGTGGGCGTAAGCAGGCGGTTTCCCAAAGAGGTGGCACAAGAACGGACAGGCAGCCCACACAGGTCATCTCCCCGACGGGTACAGGTCTTACCTGCATGAGGACCACAGTTAACACGCTTCACATCGTCAAATGTGGGCGTAAGTGTGGGGGACAGCGGGCTTACACACTGCTGGCTGGGCAGTGACCGGCGGGAGGCGGGGAGCAGCCCACACGGTCCTTCACAATGCCGAGTGCCACTTGGGTAGGGGGGTCACTCAAAACACTCGGGTACGCTGCTGGTTGGGCGAGGGGCGACCCCTGGGTTGGCCCCGCCGACTCACAGCTCAGTCAGATACTTCAAGGGGAAGCTGCAGAGCTACACTGCAGTGTGGCAGAATTTTTGGACACAGACATGGTCCACATCCCCGTGGATAGCAACGTGGAGGAAAGGCCTACAGAGCTTCGTGCTAAGCTGGCACGGATCCCTGCACGCAGAGTCAAAGTCGGGCCCCTCTGCAAACCTGGATCTAAGCTCTCTTTGGAGGGGGTCTTCAGCAACTCTTCCGGGTCACACTCCTCCTCCAGCTCGCCCTCTGTCTGCTCACCAGGGCTCAGGGAGCAAACCTCGCTGGGCACGGACACAAACGTCTCCTGCCTGAAGCCAGGGATGAGGAGGGCAAGAGGAGAACATGGGTGAGTGAGGCAGTGAGTGGGCCGAGGGCTGCGAGTCTCTATATTCTTGGCTTCGGCTCAAGATGGTGAGGGAGGCCCACCTACCACACCCCCGCTGCTAGGAACACAGCCCAGTAAATGAACACAACTGGGCTCAAAATACAAGACAAGCTCTCCGGGAGCCACGGCACGGACGGCGAGTACAGCAGGGAGTGGCGGGGTCCCGAGAGGCCGCGTTCTGCTCTGGGAAGTGGGTGGGGCAGACACGTGACTGTGGCGCCTTCAGTGGACAGGAGACTAACCATGCGTGACGTGAGGGCGGCAATGGGGCAACGGCCGTGGTGCAGCCCAGAGTCGGGCAAGACCAGGCGCCCAAGGGACTGGCCCACCCCTGGGGCCTTGACTGCAACAGCGTCATCATGCCCGCAGAGCAGGTGGCTCTGCCAGGGCCTGGCCTCCGAGAGACGCCCGGGCATGACCTCGGGACGGAGACGGGACAGAGGCTGGGATGAGCGTGAGGACAAACCCCAAAACTCCCCACTCAAACTGAGGCCTTCAACGGAAGAAGATCCCAAGTCAAAAGCAGAACATGGATTCACACGACATCAGATTGCTCTGGCAGCATTAGAACTGTGAAGAGTTTGTTGGGCAGACTCAAAGACAGCCAAGGATTAACTTCCACGGAAAAGCCAAAAAGCCGTCTCAGACCACTGCTCCCCCCATGGCCACTGCCTCCCCTCGCCGTCCCCACACGCCCCGGGCCCCCTGTCACGCTGCTCACAGGCTCCCCGCCCACCTGACGTCTCCACGCCCAAACTCTTCTCATATGATCACCTAACTGTACTGCAAGGCCACCTCCCCCCAGGCTGCGGCGCACACAGGGTCGCCTGAGGCACCGGGTTGCTGGGGAAGGGGCAGACTGGGCCCGAGGGGCTGCCAGGACCTGGGCTGGCTGCTCCACTTCCCGGGCCGCGTGTGCTGCTGCTGCTGCTCCTGGCGGTTGATCTCCAGCAAGTGCTGCTTCATGCAGCTCGTTATCTCCGGGCCCAGGTGCCAGATGAACACGCAGCTGAGGGGAGGGAGAGACGCGGGAGGAACAGACTGTGGAAGCCGCCTGACGCTGGGGCGCCTGGCTCACCACGGGCCCGTGCCCCGGCCCTGCCCAAAAGACACACCCCTCACTCGGGCTCTACCCCCTGGCTGGGGCCAGGCATCCCAGCAGAGCAGGGCCTGCTCTGAAGGTCTCCAGAACCAGGAAGAGGGCTGTGAGCAGGGAGTGTGGCAGGCTGGAGGGGCGGCCAAGCGGACTGCGCTGGGCACTCCTGTGCTGAGGAATTCTGGCTCTCCCAGAAAACTCGCAAGGCAGGCACTATCATCTCTCTTGCAAAGGGGCACACTGAGGCTCAGAGAAGGAAGAACGACTGAGGTTCAAGGTCACAGCAAACGGCAGATCTGGGATTTGAACTCAGGGCCGGTGAGACAGCCAGGTGCATGGCCGGAGGGAGCAAGCGGGAACCCCTGCACAGGCGGCCATGGGCACGGTGCCCGAGCCACCGCTTGGCCCGCAGGAGGACAGGTTCTCCCACCCACGAGACCCTCCCCTCCCCCACCCTGAAAGGTTCAGTCAGGTGCAGCTGCCAGGCCCTGCTCACCTGTCTCCAGACACTGTGATCAAGTGACGACAGTCATAGGTGAACTTCATGCCGGTTACGATTTCTGTAAGCAGTGGAGAGCAGCCGGTTGGCTGCTGAGAAGGCTCCGTCGGGGCGGGGGGGTGGAGGGGGAGGTGGCTTGAGCAGGAAGGTAGACTCACCTGAGTGGCCAAACATCTTGGCAATGCATTCCCCCGAGTAAAAGTCGATCACTGAGATGCTCTTGTCAGAGCAGCTGGTGGCCAGGAAGGTACCGGAGGGGTCCACGTGGACCTGTCACGGAAGAGGACCTGCGGGGTACTTGGGGGGCCTGGAGGGTAGGACATCTCAGCCCCTGCTGCCTGAAGTCACCCAATGCTGGACCCTCGGCACAGGGCCCCACCCCAGGTCACCCTCAGGACCCTCCCTGGGGCGGTGGGAACGCCTGTGCCCATTTACAGTGGCACGAAGCGCAGCCGTGGTCACGGTGGAGCTGGGCCTGTGCCGGGCACTGCACACATGACCAGCCCCAGGGGGCGGTTTGCACTTTACAGAGGATGAAACCGGCTCCAGAGCAGCATCACACACCGAGGCCACAGTCTGAGGAGGCCCTGACCTCGGGTCTGCCAGAAGCAACTCCCCAGGTGCAGAAGCTCCGAGAAGGCCGCTACCCTGCCCTGGGTCACACAGGTTCAGTGGGGGCCTCCTGGTGAGGGGGACCAGGCTGTTCGGATTCCTTTCACCTCTCTGTGGCCACGTGGAGTGAAACCACGTCCATGTCCTACTCGGGGCCTCCCCTGGCTCCCCTGCATCCGGGGTCAGCCAGGCTGGAGTGGGTGCTAGCCAGCCTGGAATGCTCCGGTCAGGGCGGCCCGGCAGGGCGACAGAGGGGGGCCTTTGTGAGTGTGCTTTGTGGGGGTCCTCAGCTCACCTTCAGCAGGGACCCTTCGTCTCCCTGGGAGCCCCTGTAGCACTTCTTCTGCTTCCCGTTCACCGTGTTGTAGACCCTGGGGAGGCGGGGCAGAATGTGGCCAACAAGGCCCTGCCCACCCTGGCCCCTCGTGCCCCCCGTTGCAGCTTCACCTGCCGCCCCCTCACCCCTGGGAAGCCCCATTATTGCTTGTCTGCCTCCCACCTGATGCTTGGAGTGAAACCCCATCCCACCCTGTCTCTCCAGGACCAGTGAGCCGGTGGGTGAGGGGTGGCGGGGAGGAACGCGTAAGGCTCCTGACAGACAGCCCCTTTGGGTTCCACACAGGCCCCATGCAGAAACTGGCCCAGGCCAGTGCCTCACCTCACATTGCGGTCCTGGCAGGCCACAGCCACGTACTTCTGGGTGATGTCAATGTCCATGTCGTATAAGGTGGTCTTCTCTGCCACGTGGTGGGTACGGACGAAGTGCAGTCCATCTGAGGCCTGCATGGTAGACAGTGTCTTCAAAGGCCTCCCCTGACAAGCCCCGTCAGCCCCCCAAGGCAGCCACCCCACACTACCCGCTGGGCACTGCGAAAGTAGATGCTCTTGTCAGCCCCACAGCTGATCATCTGGATGTCTCTGTTGCCTGGAGGAGAGAGAGGGGGTCCATTAGACAGGGCTGGGTCTCTGCTGGGCCTGACAGGCCTAAGATCCTAGCCAGGGAGACTCCACCACAAGGAGACTCTGCTGGGGGTCTGGGAGGGCCTCCCGGAGGAGGTGAGGTGGGTGCTGCGTACAGGCAGGACTTGTGAGATTTCAGCTGTGTGTTTTTGGGGAGCAGATGGCGCAGTGGGCAAGCTAGGTCTCTGCAGAGCAAGGGCAGAGAGAAAGAAAGGTGGGGACACAGAAGGGGCACATGGTCTAACTTAAGATCTGGAAAGGTGTCCAGGGCAGCAGAGTGGGGGCGAGACTGAGTGGCAGCAAGGCCACAGCGGAGGGGCATGTCATCGAGACAGTCGGAACATCCAGATGCAGCCTGGGCCGGGCTGGGCCTCACGTGCACTCTCCTGATGGCTCGTGAGCTCGCCTACCTAGACGTAAACCCAGGGCTCCCGGCTGCGCCGTCCTGTCCGGGGTGCACAGAGAAGGGCCGAGCTGGGCATCCCCGTGCACTGACCTGGGCTTCCTATCGGCACAACAGGCCTGGGGGCTCTGAGGAGCCCCTGGACAGCATCTTCCCCCTGCACTGTCACTGTTCACACCTGTATACTTCCTTCTTTTATACGTTATGTAGTAAGAATGCCCAATACCACAGAGCTGTGGTGAACACGAAGACAGAACCGACAGGAAACACTGAGAGCCTTGGGACCACGGCTGCAGCTCCGGGGACAGGACGTCCGACTCACACAGGAGAGCGCCCACGGGAGGGAGGGGCGCCTGTGGGCGGGAGCGTGGCCTGCAAGTTACTGGTAACGTCCTGCTTCCTAACCTGAGGTGAGTCCTAGTATTTAGCAATGTCAGGATCAAGGGCAAGCAGGACACTTGCTGCTGTGGACCTGGGTGTGTCTGTCCTCGCTCACACCTACCCACAGAGCCTGACGCAGTCATTGTTTTCTTCTGTAAACTCTACACAGATTATAGTCACTTCCTTTGAGTTATGTTTCACAGAAGGACATTATTCCTTCCGCAGGTACTTACAATAAGTTCCGAGGGCCCAGTGGTGGCCCGGGTGAGGCAGCGGTCACGGCAGAGCGCACACGGCCTGCAACCTCTCAAACCGGCTGGGGCTCGGAGGCGGCGGCCCACACCCTCCAGAGGCCTGAAGGGCGGACTCCCGGGCCTCACCCTTGGCCAGTCATGTCGTCTCTGGAGCGAGACCATTCATTAAAGGCAATGTCCCTGCTGGCCAAGCTGGGAGATGTACTGATTTATTCTAGCTAGCACAGGAAGAACAGTGTTTCAAGGCTGTCTGACAAGTTTTCGGATGAGTTTGTAACTAGGTCTTTATTAAGACACAGCAAACTTTGTTACCTTGTTAGCCCGGCTCCCTCTCACCTTAGCTAGACAGAGGCAGGAAGGAAGCAGGGAAAACACCAGTACATTTTCAGGCACAACATTGTATTTTAAAAACTCTTCATTGTCGGGGCCCTCCCTGGTGGCGTAGCAGGCCAAAGGGCAGCATTGCAAGCCAGCCATAGCCTCTTAGGTGAGAGTTCGAGCCCTGCCCCAGAGCTGACCACATGGCACAACAGAACTCTCCTGTCTCCCTGCTGCTCCCCTCAGCAGTGGACTTCATCAATCTGCCTGTTCTGCTCCCCACTCTGTCTCTGTTGAATCCTCTCACCACCCCTGCACCTCTGGCCTGTATCCCAGGTCTGTATGCATAAATAAAATCTTTATAAAAAAAAAAACACTCTTCACTGTCAAGACACCAGAGAAATAAATGTATCCTCTCCAGGAAGAGACTCTGCTGGAGGATAGTCTTGACCAAGGTCGTGGGTCCTGATCCATCAAGCCCCTACCCGGCCTGCCTTTCCTGCCCTTGAAATCCCTTAAGAAATCCCCAGGATCTCCATACTGACTCCTCCCAGTCATGGAGGATTCACTCTAATTTCCTGGCTGCACGTGGGCCTCCAAGGACACCCCAAGACAAGCCCCTGGCCTGCACCCACTGGCCACGTGACTCTGGTGTGGGCGGTACAAGTCTCACGGTACAGCACGGAACTAGTCTCCACAAGTGCCACTTACATTTGTGCCTAAGTCACCAGCACCCACCTCCTCCCTCAAATGACACCTGATTCCTCTTGGGGATCCACACTTGTCTCACGTCAGTCCTCGGGGTTGAGGTAGACACATAGGGGGCTGTGGACACCTAAGTCAGACCGGAACCGGAGAAAAGCCAAGGCGCTGGCACTGATCCCGTCCTGGAGGGGGAGGCCCTCACGCCACACCAGGGCAGCCAGCGCCCAGTTTCTGCCATGCTAGCAGCACAAGGACACCACTTTCCAGTGGCACAGACAGGCGAGATGATGCCCGCCAGAGCACCTGCAGCCGATGGAGCTGGGTGTTGGGGGCTGTGGGGGGTCCTGAGCACTGAGACAAATTCAGCCTTCGGAAGCAGCTGCGCCTGAGTCCAGAGCAAGCCGCACACTGTTTCCTTGAAGCTACGGGGAGCTGTGCTGTCACCGAGAGGCGCAGGAGGCGGGCAGCCAGGGGCTCACCAGCAAACTTGATGGCCGTGATGGAGGAGGAGTGGTCGTCCAGGGTCTGCTCCAGGTTGTAGTTCTTCTCCACGTTCAGCACGTGGATCAGCCGGTCCCGACTGGCCGAGGCCAGCAGAGTCAGTCCTGTGAAAGGAGAGGCGGGCCCAGCTTCCTGGGAGGCCACTGTATGCCTGTCTCAGCGTGACCCAACTTTCCAGGTCTTGAAAAAGGGGTCTTTGGCTCCAGAACTGCAGCTGACTTGCCCCAAACCCGGAAAGGAGCTGCTGATCCATTTTGTATAGTTCCTCCCTGAGCAAGCGAACCCCATCCTTTCACATCCCCGCCACCCATTCAGGGAGGATGGATCTGATGTGGACACCCTGACAGAGCCCAGCACTGCTTCCTGCCACGTGCAGCTCTTGGGCACTCCAGTAAGTTCTGCCTGCCTCAGCTTCCTGCACTGCCCCCCACTCCCTGAGCTCTGGAGACGGGCCACAGCTGGGCGCTCCCGGTCACCCACCACCATGCCTCCTTCCCGGCCTACCCTGGTCACCTGGTGTCTGCGGCCTGCCACTTGGCCGGAGGTAGAAGCATACTGCGGGGAAGGCGTACTGACAGAAGGGAGACTTAAAAAAATTTTGATGGGGTAGAGAGTGCGTGAAAGAGCATGCAGACCAGGGTTGTTCACACTCAGGATGTGACGCCACCTGCGCTATGTTCCTGCCCAGGACGGATTACTGGAGTCAAACTGAGGAAAACAGCAAACCAAAAGGAATGAAGAATCGATAAAATGATAGGGCTGTCCTCAGCTGAAGGCCAAAGTCATACAGAAAATTCAGATGGTGAAAAGGCTCTAAAGTAAAGGCCACAGAAGAGACAAGACAACTAAAGCCCGAATCTGACTGGAAAAACTGGGCGCCGTAAACAACAATACCGGGATAACTGGAAGTGTGTGAACAAGGCCCAAGGCCAGATGACAGCAAAGCGCCATAGTGAAAGCCTCAGACTTGACTGAACAGGCTGTGGTCGTGTAAATGGGCATCCTCACCCTAGGAAATGCTGCAGAAGCATTTACAGACAGGGGCATCAGAGTCACGACTTACACTCACATGATTTAGCAAACGAAAAAAAAAAAAAAGTCTATGCTATTCCTTTATTGTGTGTGCATGTGCAGAGAGAAGTGGAGAGGGAAAACTGATAGAGCCACAGTGCAGCCACCAGGGCAGGTGAGGTTCAGAAGGAAAATGGGGAGAATCTGAATGAGAGGATGCAGGTATTTCATTAATAATACACCTGCAGGGCCCTCCCTGGTGGTGCAGTGGGTTGGAGCGCTGCACTGTGAAGCTAAGTCAAGCTGTGGCTGCTTCAGTGCGAGTTCGATCCCCGGCCTGGAGCTGACCCCATGGCGAGGCAGACCTCTCCTGACCTTCCCGCTGCTCCCCTCAGCAAAGTATTTCAGTGGATCCGCCTGCTCTGTTCCCTACTCTGTGTCTGATGAATTCTCTTGCCGCCCCTGCACCTCTGGCCTGTACCCCAGTTCTGTATGCAAAAATAAATAAATCTTTTAAAAAAAAGAAAACAATACACCTGTAATTTTTCTGTCAGCATCAAACTTTTCCAAAAAAGTAAGGTTAACTGTCAGCCTCTTTTCCAGAAGTTCACTCATTCACTTACTCAACACTCTCTGCCTTAGCATGACAACAGCTTGGCGTGCTGGGGACCCAAGTAACCAAGTCGACTCCAGCCTGTGACATCTTGCTTTCTGGAGTCCCAGCACCCTGATCCCGGGGCACAGCGGCATGATGTCACTGTCATTCCTAGCCCCACCAGCCAACCCTCTCTGGAGCCCAGCCAGGTGGGCTGCTCCCCTCCTTCCCGCCACCACCTTGCCTGTGGGCTCACCCGTCTCCGGCTTGGAGTATTCCAGGCACAGCACCTCAGCATCATGGGCCTCCACCTTGACCAGCTCGTCCATGAAGTGCAGCTCGTGGATCCTGGGAGACCAGCACCGCCCGCTGTACCCTGCCCAGAGCCCCCCGCCCCCACCCCGGGTGTTCAGAGGAGCCAGGGAGGCAGCATGGGAGCGCCCTCCTCTGGCCAACTATTCCGCAGACACACACTGCTTCTCCCTCCTCCAGAGGCACCGAGAGAAGCAATGCCAAGCCTGGGGGTGCCTCAGGGCAGAGCTGGGGAGGCAGGCCTGGGACGGGCAAGGGCCAGAGGTCATACTCAAGGACGGGGCCTATGGGCAACATCTGATTCCAATCTCTTCTTGGAGTCTCAAATCTAGAGTTCCCTTGTTGTCGCCCAATGAAATCCATGCACAGGTCACCCAGGACTGAAATGCGAGACAGCCATTCCAGCTCCTCTACTCTGACCTGTGTGGTTTTAGCTGAGCCAGCCCTGGCTTCTCTGGCAGTTAACCATCTGATGAGCAGCTAATAACAGCACTTTGCAAAGCAGCGGGCCCATGAGCGGATTAGACGAGTCAATAATGCAGCATCAGGGCAGCAATCCACCGGGGAGAGAGCCACACGCACATCAGCCTGCATCTGTTTTTGCCTCTCCTGGCAGTCAGTTGCAATATGGGAGCCCCCGCCCCCCTCACATTCAGTTTGCCACAGGTAGCAGTTGATATCAAAACAGCTGCCAGAATTAAAAAAATCAGATTTCACAAAAAGATACCTGCATTTCTATTCTTTTTAGACACTGGGAAGAAGAGACAACTCAGAACCAGTCTGCTTGGGGCTGTGGTGGCCTGTGCCAGAGTTCCCGCCCAATCTCTTCCTCCCCGAGAGCCCCCCACCAGGGGCCACACCTGCCATCTGTCATCTTAAACCTGGTCCCTGTGACAGCTTATGCCCTGCTGCACCTACTGGGCTGGTGAGCTCTGAGGAAACTTGCGCTTGGGTAGACAGACTGGGCCCTCAAATGTCTTGTATTTCTGGCTCCTCTCCCAGGCCACCAGGACCCCCAGGCCCAGCTGACAGTTGAGCAGTAGCACCACTTGGCTGGGGGAGGTGTCACCTGCCCGAGTTACACACGTGGGCCCGTCCACTCCAGGCCGAGCCTGCTACCCTGATCTCAGCCCCTCGTAGGTTCCCAGGGGTGGCTGGCTGGCAGACTGCTACTCAGCCAGAGAAGACTGTTACCCACATTCCTATGGGCAGTTGGAGAGGTCAAGATCCACTTCTCCCCCCAACTGTGAGTGACCAAGCCCAAGCTGGGGGTGTATGCTAGACACCCTCCCAGGGGCCACTTGCCTCAGATTTCCACTTCGGTCGCCTGAAGCCAAGTGCTGGCCGTCAGGACTGACCTGCATGACTCGCACCCCGGCCTTCGCGTCCACAGGCGTCCCGCTCTCACTGCCCCGGTCTGGGAAGTGTGACATGTCCTGCAGGTGCTGGATGTCGTTTTCCACATACACCACCTTCAGCAGGGTCTGTGGGGGTGGGGAGCAGGACAGTGAGCAGCTCTGCAATTCTGTCCCCCCTTCTTCATCAGTAACAGGGCTCCAATTTCCCCAGGAGGTTCACCACTCTGATTACTAACGGTGTCTTAGCCTTCCTTACAGTAAGCTGAGGTTGTGTGAATAAATTCTAGTCACTGAAATGTAAAGCAAGCAAGAGCTCTTTGGCGCCCTGGAATGCAAAGGCACCAACTGGATCTCCAGCAGCCACACTGCGTCATGAGGATAAAATGAAAGGGTGGGGAGCTGGAAGGCTTTTGGGTCTCTGATGTCTTTTTTTGTTTTTTGCATAACTGGTATGAAGAGATGAGAGGATTCACCAGAGACAGAACTGGGAGCAGAACAGGCTGACTGAAACACACTGCTGAAGGGAGCAGCAAAGGGTAGAACAGGAAGGGTCTGCTGACGTGGGTCACTCCCTGGCCAGGGATGCAACTTGTGCGGCAGTGGCTGCAGACAGCATCACAGTGCTGAGCCTTAACCCTTGTGGCACCAGGGAGGCCCAGCAATTTCATTTCCATGGATTGTGTTGGCTTGCCTGAAGTAAGTGCCCACACACGCCTACTGGAGCAGACTGGCAGTGTTTTGGCAGAAAGAAGCTGAAGGACAGACGAGAAAGAGAAAGAGAGAGAGAAAGAAGCAAGGTCAGAGAATGACCCACTTTGGTGCCCCAGTGAAGTCTAACACTTGGATTCCATCAGACTCCATCCTGTTCCCATTTTCTAGCTTAAGCTTGGCCTTTGGTTCCTCTAGAAGATGGTTCACAGTGGAGTCACTCACGTTGCTGAAGATGTTTTTCTGCCAGTGGGAATCAGGGCTGCTATCCATGTTCCAGAAGCGGATGGTATTGTCTGAGGAACAAGTCAGGAAAGAGCCTGATGGCAGACAAGCTCTCTGATCTTCAAACTCAGGATACACCTACAAGCCCAGAGGACAAGGCACAGTGACTCTCATGGCCACCTCAGTGCCAGCGCTGTGACACACTGTTATATCTGGGGGGGGGGAGAAACAAGTAAGTCTCCATAAACAGCCGCGGAGGTCAATGCTGTCTGGGTTAAACGTACACAAGAAAAAAGAACATAAAATACTACCATACACTGTAGGTCCCATTTTCAGCCCATTACAAAGCATCCTTATAAATAAATTTCCAAGAAAAATGGGCAGCTTAGTCAAAAACCACTAAATACAACAGGAAACAGGGTACCGTGAGCAGGAAGCTGCAGAAATAACAGCCTCGCTTCAAATACTGGAGTACCAGACAGAGCATAGAGCTATTTAATATGTTTAACGAAATAAAAGAACTCTCACAGGGTTAGACATGCTCAGAACTAAGGAGAAACTCTAACAGGTACCCAAAAGGGCTATCTGAAAAAGAAAAACCACATTTATCCAAATGCAAAGGGAAGCATTAAGAAATAAAGATTAAGACAATTGAAAAGGAAACGAAGCCAAAGACAGAAGTAAAAACATTATTCAGGATACAGCTAGGAGAGACTGACACACAGATTACAAATGTAGAAGGCTGGGACCGAGGAGATGACAGAAGCAATCCCTACCACACTAAAAACTTTCAGAAAGCAAAACCAAAGCCCCAGACGTTAAACCCTGTGTTATCTGAAACAGATTCATCTTATATCCAAAGACACATCCAGCTGGAAAGTGAAGGAATGGAAAAATGGATTCCATGGAAATATACATGGAAGGAGCTTTGGGTATCCATAGCAATGTCAGACAAAATAAGCTTTATGTCAAAAACCGGTTTAAGTGACAAAGGGCATTATAGACGGATAAAGGGTCAGTCATCAAGAAGACATAACAAGTGTAAATATATACCCACGAATCGCTAGAAAATCCAAGAAAAAAACCCCACAATCTGTACACCTCCCAAAGGCTAGAATAATAACCGAGCAACAACAAAAACCAAATCAGTGTTGGTAAGGATGTGGAGAAACTGGAAAGCCTGTATGTTGCTGGTGGGCAAATTAAATGGCCCAGCTGCTATGGGAAAGCTTGGTGGCTCCTCAGGAAGTTAAACAGAGGATGACATATGCCCAGCAAGTCTTCTCTTGGGTATATTCCCAAAAGGACCAAAAACATGTTCCTACACAGCACATGCATGAATGTTCACAGCAATATTATTCATAAGAAACAAGCTTGCAAACACCCGAATGTCCATCAGGTGTAAACAGATAACAGAAGTTAGGATTATCCATACAATGGAATATTATTCAACCTTCAAAAAGGAACAAGGTACCAAAACTTGCTACATCATGGATGAGCCTGAACACATTATGGTAAGCAAAAGCCGAACACAGAAAGCATGTATTTTATAATTCCATTTCCATGAAATATTCAGCACAGGCAAATCCAGAGACAGAAAGCAGATAAGTTGCTGCTAGGTGCTTGGAGAAGCAGGCAATGGAGACCTCGTTTAACGGGTACAGAGCTTCCTTCTGAGGCAGTGAAAATGTTCCAGAACTAGACAGTAGTGATGGCTGCACAGCACTGTAAATGAACTACACACTACTGAGTTGTCCATTTTAAAATTATTTAAATGGTAAGGTAAGTGTTATATGTTTTTTACCATAATATATGAGTGTACAGTTATCCCTCAGCCCATAAACAAAGTCAAGAGAGAAAGAATATAGTATATAATGGCTACATGAGCAGATCGCATAGATTCACTGTCTCTATCTTAAACTGATAACTGGGGATAGTGTAATCAACCCCTTTGTCTTTGGGAAATAGAATTTTGGGAGGACCGATCTGGCAGCTCTGAGCACCCCTGGCACCCAAACTGTATCTTAAAATTTCAACTTGGACTGAAAACCAAACCAGGGTTTCTTTAAAACTCGCTGAGTCCCAGGTCTGGAACAGGAATGTACAAGAGGAGCCTGGAACACCCGAGCACAACGTGATGGGGCTGTGTCCAGGGGATTCAATGGTCGATGGGAGGAGGCTCTGAAGGCTGAAAGATGGGACAGTCTTGAGTTCCAATAACTGTAGTGGATTAAGATATATCCAAGATATTAAAATAGGAGTTTATAATGCTATTAAATAAAAACAACTAGTTACCTTTAGAGGACAGGGAACCAAATTCATTATAGGGGAAAGAGCCAAGCATTTATCCTGCCTTTCCTATATGAAGTGTACCACTGGCTGACCAAATGGTAGCCGAGGGGAGTGTCTCTTCATACAGGTAGTCCAACTAACAAAAAGAAACGATAGAATTAGAATGTCACCGTGTGGCAAAGCCCAGTGACAAATCTAGGCACCGAGCAGCAATAGCTGCGGACAGTAATCGACAAACTCTACATTTCTCCTGTGTGGTCTTCTAGATCGGATTTCTTTATAAAGCCTGAAGGCTAGAGAGACAGGATCTTGCGGTGACACAAGAAGACAGACAGAATGGGTTTGAGGGAATTCTTATATCCACACCAAAAATGTTCCAGAAGTGATCAAAGGATCTATATCCATAGGTCGTTTTGAGATACTCTATATCAAAATAACAAGGAGATGAAAAAAAGTGAACTGAAAGACACATGGTTAACTGATACGGGGGTGAGGATGAAGGCAGAGAAGCCTTTATGCTTATCTTTAGTTTTAGCACCTTTTAGGGCAGGCATGTTATATTCATATACAATTTTTTTTAAAAGATTTACTTACTTGTGCATACAAGAACTGGGGTACAGGCCAGAGATGCAGGGGGTGAGAGGACTCACCAGAGACAGAGTGGGGAGCAGAACAGGTGGGTCTACAGAAATATGCTACAGAGGGGAGCAGTGGTGAGACAGGAGAGGTCTGCTGTGCTCTGTGGGGCAGCTCCCTGGCCCAAGATTGAACTCAGGCTGCAGTGGCGGTAGCACTGAGACTTAACCCCTAGGCCATCAGGGAGGCCCCTGAAAATGTAATTCCTCTAGGACAAATTTTCCTAGCAATAGAGTGAGAAATTTGCAGAAAAGAGTAGAATACAATCCTTTCTCCTCCCATCACCTTCACACAGAAGTAGTTAGAACAGCTTCAGAGAATTAAGTAACCCCACAGCTTCATTCTCTAAAACATTTCATCTCTAGGAAAAATAAGCAACAAAAGCCCCCCCCCCCTCCAACAAACTCTCAAGGTCCATCAGATCCTGCTCTCCCCAGAGGTCTCAGATCTCACCCCTCCTTTTCTGGGGGCCTCTACTCCAATGCCACATCCTCAGAGGGGCCTTCCCAACCTCTTTCCTCCAGAACAAGCGCCTTGAACGGCTCCTCAGCCCAACTGTCTCCCTCTTCAGGGAGTTCCCGCTCCTGGCATGCCTGTCACAGTTTGCACATGCTTACTCTCCAGTGACCCCAAAAGGGCAGGGCTTTCATTTCCTTCCCAGCTGTGTCCCCAGCATCTAAAACAGCCCTACGTAAACATCCTTCCAAGCAATGGCTGAAGCTTTCTCCCACTGAGCTCCCGCATGGGCCAGAGGCGGCAGTGGGGCTCACCTCCACATTCCAGACGTAGGAGCTGTGGAAGAGCTCTGACCACATCTTGCCGACTTTGTTGATGTCTTTGACGTCCCAGATATAGATGCTATGGTCCTTATACACACAGGACAGCCACTGGTGGATGGGGTCGAAGGTCAGTGCCACTGTATCTGGGTAGACTGCTTCTGCCTTTCTGTAGAAGAGGAAGCTAACACGGCCACAAGGGTCATCATCACCATCAGTGTTGTCAGGGGAAAGGATGTCCTGAGTGAACTTTACAGATACTAGCTTTGTAGACTCCACCCTGACTCCAGACACCGAAACTACAAATCCCAGCATCACCAAAGGGAGGATTGCTGGGACCTGAGTGCGGAGTCAAGGAGCCATTTTGGGTTTTGCGTACAAAACCAGACATGTTGGGCTGAGGGGGGCACATGGAGCAGAGAGATGTGTGAAGAAACCATGTTTGCTTCTTCTTGGCCCTGGACTGGTTGAAATAGATATGGGGGAGAGACCCGTAGGGAGGTGACTATGGCAGTGTTTATCTGGATTTTGATTTTGCTCTTTTCCTCCCAGACTTGCCTGGCCATGTCTGACCCTTTTCTATGGGTCCTGGCCAGAAGGTGCTTAAGGCTTGTGGGGAGCTTTCAGGCCTGGCTTTGGGCCAATTCTTTTTGGGTGGACTTTTACCCACGAGGGGACAGGTAACTTTGGGTGTTTGACTTAGAAACATATTCTTCAGGTTTGCTGTAGTGCACACTGATTGTACTAAAGTTCCTTTCCATTAAAGGTCTTATATGTTTTGTCTCAATGCAGTGGATGGTAGAACCTATTCAGTGCGGGCAGGTTTGGGGGTTTAGGCATGCCTCTCTCTCTCTGCCCTGTAACAGTGTCACCATGAGCAGTGACAGTAGCCTCTAGTGACACTCGTGCTGCCACATGCTGCAGTGGCATGGCGGCCCGTCTCTCCAGGAAACTCCTTTACCCCCCCTCGCTATTCCTCAGATTTGCTTCTGACCATAGCTCCGCCCTTCCCCCCACTCATCGTGGCAGCCAGGAGTCTCTACTCAGAGCCAGGTCAGGGAATGCTAATGCCGGAAATGCCCTGTGGCCGCTGCTGGTCTCAGAACAATTTCCTGCCTTGGTAGTGCAGGGGTAGAATTCTCGCCTCCCACATTCCACCTGTCCCGTCCGTCAATGCTCACACAGCCCCCAAACACTAGCTCTGGACTCGCAGCCCAAGTGGCTCTACACAGGCCTGGCCAATGTGCTGTCTCTGTGATGCCTCTACAGCTGGACCCAGCTGTCCACGCTGCAGGCTCCTTCTCACCAGACTGGCCACCCCATCAACACAGCCCGCCCAGTCCTCTCCTCACGAGTCCCTGCTTTGTCTCATGCCAGCATGGATGCCCATCTGCAGGGTTCCTGCTTGGGTACTTGTTCACCATCAGGCTCCCCCACCACACGGCAGGCTTCAAGGTGGCAGAATGTGCTGCCTCCTTGGCGTGGTCTCCTGCTTCCAACCAGGAAGCACGGACGGATGTCAGCAGACAGATGCTCATCCCCCACAGGCAGTACCTGGGATCCAGGCCCTGGGCCACGTCCACCCCGAGGTAGTGAGGCTTGGGCAGGTTGGCGAGGTAGTGCAGGTTGTGGGCCTGGAAGATGCGGACGGTCCCGTCTGTGCAGCCACAGAAGATGAGGTCCTGGCTGACACAGAGGCAGGAAGCCAGGGAGACCTGCGCGGCAGAGAGGGCCCAGTGGGCTTCTGTAGCCTGGCTCAGGGACATGGGCTGACCGAATAGCCGCGGGAGGAGTCTTCTCGTTCCTTGGGTCTCAGGAGCCCATTTAGGCGATTTAAGATTTTTGAAATTAGAACACAGCGCATAGACAGTGGTGAAGGCAACGTGGCAGCAGGTGGGAGAGGCGTGACAGGACAGGCTGTCAGGGCTCACCATAACTCAGCTGTGTGTGGAAAACTCACTCTGCAAAATTCAGGTAGGTCCCCTGCAGTAAAAAGGTTGAACTTCCTGCTTCAATTTTATTCCCAGTGGCTTAAAAACAACTTTGTAAAGATTACATTTCAAAGCCGTGTAGAAAAAGTTACTAAATACGCCAGGGACTCTAGTGTGCTGGAACAGGCAGCAGAGAGGCAGGAGTGCCAGGCCTCTGGGCACAGATTAAAGGAGTTTGTACAGACCTGGCAGGACTTAATTCATTAGTCACTTCAGGTGACTCTGCAGGGACTGAACATCTACCTGGAGAAAGCTTCTGACTTGCTAATAAGCTGCAGGAGTTCTAGCGAGAGGATTCAAATGAGAAAAACAACACTGGTATTTAAACAGCTGGAAACGAGGAAGAACTTGGAATTCTTCCACACACCCGACAGCGTGCCATTTACCCTGATGCCCACCACGGGGTTCCAGAGCCAAGTGCCTTCCAAAGATTATCGTGTGACTCCCTGTCAACTCTGAGGCAGGCAGCGCTAGTCGATGAGGAAACTGAGGCCCAGAGAGAGAAAGTCACTCCCTCACAGTGACACAAGAAAGTCAAACCCAGACCCGGTCTGATCAACGACCAGGCAGGGACACTGCTGTGGGGCCGAGGACACGTGTCCAGGGACGACTGTTTCCCCTGTGGCAGAGAGGGAGGTGGGTACCTTTAGGTTGATCCACTTCTCCAGCACCCTCTTCTCATTGAACTGGCATAGGAGGCCCGAGTAGGACACACAGAAGGTATTGCCTGCCATCTGGCCACGGCCACAGGCCACACCACAGAAGATGTTGTCGTGCAGCTCACCCAGGATGCCCGAGCGACCCACGAGGGGCACCGTGCCTGTCACCTGGAGGCAAAGCGGGGCACAGTGAGCCACTGTCCACATGGCCTAGAGCCCAATCAGGGCACGAAGGGCCTTTTGTGACCAGAAGATGTGACACGGCGAAACAGGAGGGCTGGGAGTATGGTGGGGAGGGGAGGAAGACAGAACACAACTTCCAGGCAGGGTGGCTGGCAGGCAGCAGCCATGCGGGAAGCAGAGCGGGCCCTGGCCAGGAGGGGAGAGGCTGAGGGGTGACGGGGCCTCGGAGACCACCGCCCCCCAAACTCAGGGAGAGGCAGGAGTCTACACTGGCTCGGATGGTACCCCGCGGCCTGCTTGAGAGGGCGGGCCCGGGCACTCACCTTGGCTTCTGTGGAGACTTCCAAGAACCAGAACCTCACATGCCGGTTCCCGACGGTGACAAAATAGCTGCTGTCCTCTGAGAAGGAGAGGGCGATGACCCTACACGATACCTTGTTGGAGGCCACCACAATGTCCCTCTGGAAGAATCAGCGCAGAGAGGTTCGAGCTGGCACCCACCCCACTGGACTCTCGGTGCCTGTTCTCAGCCCCGCGCTGCCCCGTCCCAGCTCGGTGTCCCCGGGCCCTCCTGTGAGCTGCTTGACAGGGAAGCCTACGTGTGGTCCTCCATTCCCAGTGCAGAGGAGCCTGAGGCTCGGAAAGGGTCCCCTGTGAGGGTGTGATCCAGGCTGGCCCGAGAGTCCAAGCTCTGCAGTTGGGGCGGGGACAGGCGCAGCTGGGGACAGGCCACACAATCCACACCCGCCTCTGGGCCCCTCTGAGGGTTTCACAGGGAAACTCATGGAGGCGCTTCTCCCCCCACTCTGGGGGGCTGGGGGGCGCCACATCATACAGAGCCAGGGCTCGGAACCCACTTCTGCTGACTCCAAGTCGCCCCCCAGCTGTTCCGAAGTCCAGTCTTTCGCTACGTATCAACTCAGTGAATTCTCATGACTTAGATACTATTTATATCCACTTTCTAGAAGAGGAAACAGACTCACAAAATTGCAAATGGTCAATTGAAAAGTAATTATATAATTCTAGTTTCGAGCTTGTCAGTGCCCAGAGCCAGGACCCACGTGAAGTCGGCGCTCAGTAAACGTCTGCTGGATGAACGAGCCTGCTACCAAGCCATCTCCCTTAGGTCTCCCGATGCCCAAACTCGGGGGCTCCCCCACCCCCTGCAGCCTCACCTTCCAGTCCCAGACGTTGAGCACCATGTCGTGTTGGTAGCCCATGGACACGATGTGCTTCATGTTGGGGGAGAAGGCCACACAGGCCACACCGTACTTGTGGCCCAGCATCTCTGCCACCTGACTCTTCTCATCCACGTCCCAGATGCGCACAGCAGGCCTGTGCCCGTTCTGGGGAAGTGGGGCCGTCACTGCCCCTGGGTCTGCACCAAGCGGGGCTAGAGGGGCTGTGGGGCTGAAGTTGGCATTGCCCCCGGTGGGCTGAAGAGCCTCCTTCCCCATGCACCACGGAGTTTTGCTGGCACAGGAAGGTGCCATTCCAGGGAACCCCAAGTCCTGCTATGGGCAGATGGCATGGCCCCAAGCCCCTTCCTCACCCACTCAATCGTGATCACTGCTCACCTCGCCCGTCACGATGTACTTGCCATCGGGGGAGAAGGCCAGAGCACTCAGGGATTTCCTAGGGCAAGAAAAGGGGTTGACCGCTGGTCCCACCACGTGCAACAGCCAGACCTCACCCACTCCTCGCTCTCAAGAGTCAGGGCTGCCCGCGTGCCAGATGCTGCATTTCCTGCTGCTGGGGGAAGGTGGCAGCGACACGGGGACACGGGGGAGAGAAGCAAAGGCCTCTTCCTCCCTAAACCCCACCACCCAGCTGGGGTGGACGCTGCATGGGGACGCTCCTTTCCTCTCCCTTTGCAGGATGGCGCCCCAAGGTCCATCTACTCTGGGAGAGAAATCCAGATGCAGATCTGGCCTGACTATGGGGTGGCATCACGCTGAGATGGTCTATGCTCAGGGGTTGGTCCGCCGCCAACCACTGGAGTTCTAGAAGCGCCCTAACAGCCAACATGCTTCCCTTACCTCCGGGCAGGCCTGTGTGAGGCTGGAAGGGCCAGGCGAGTGTCAACACTTCCTCACACGGTTTACTGTTCTCAGACTATTTTTCCCTCTCCTCCTGTCTTTTGCTTCCCTCACGTGAATAAACAGAGTGCCAGAGAGAAGAGGGGACCTGACCCCATAGCTAGCCGCTCTTGGGGGCTCACCGGCAGACAGCTCACACGCGGAGTCTCGTCAGCAGCGGCCGCCCTCAGCTGACTGCTGAACTCCCAGCCCTGGGCCCTCCCCACAGCCAGGTGCTGAGAGGGTGCCCCAAGACTGGGAAGCAAAGCCTCACTAGCCAGTCTTAATTTTAATTTCCTGACCATATTGGGGTTTTGAAGGTCCTTTTTTTTTAATAGGATATACACACTTAAGTATTTAGAGGTTCAAGGGCATCATGCCTCCAACTTGCTCTCAAATGGTTCTGGAAAAAATATGTATATAGACAGAAGGATGAAGCAAATGTAATAAAATATTAACATTTAGAAAATAACAGATATTAAGCTCTAGTACTAGTCTTGTCAGTCTGAAGTTATTTCAATATAAAAAGCTTAAAAATCGGCCCTTCCTGGTGGTGCAGCGGGTTAAAGCACAGCACTGAGAATCTAAAGCCGCTTCCGCATGAGTTCGATTCCCGCCTGCCCCGGAGGTGACCACATGGCGTGGCAGACCTCTCCTGCCCCCCCCCCCGCTGCTCCCCTCAGCAGTGTGCTTCGTCAATCTGCCTGTTCTGCTCCCCACTCTGTCTCTGGTGAAGCCTCTTGCCGCCCCTGAGCCTCTGGCCTGTACCCCAGTTCTGTATGCACAAATAAATAAATCTAAAAAAAAAAAAGCTTAAAAATCGCCAAAGCCCAGGCCTCACAAGAACAACTTGAGTTGCTCTTCTCAGGGCTTGAAGCCCAGGGGTCTTGAAATGCCGACAAGTGACAAGCTCTACTCTGGCCACACCCCCAAAGAGAGCGCCACCAGCGGTGCAGAGGGGACAGCACCATCACAGCTGCTTCTGGTCAAGGCCACCTACTCCGCTGACTATAGGAAGCAGGGGCCTCTGACAACAAGAGGCCCCAGTGCATCCCAGTCATGGGGGACTATGGCGCCGGGGCCAGAATCTCTCTTTTTCCAAATGAGAGGAGCATTTGAACTTTTGTATGAAATACTTTTAATGTTGACAACAGTCCAATCTGTAAAGCACATTGTTAGCCAAACCCATGAGCCTCTGGTTCATGACTACTGCCTTAACTAACTGGAGGTAGCTATTGTATTGCCAGAGAAGACCAAGGCTCAGAAAGAAGAGTCTTGCTTGAGGTTACAGAGTCAACAAGCACTTGAGCAGGACCGGAAGCCGATCTGCCCTCACGCTGACCAGTGGAGACGCAGGCAGCTATCTGGAGTCTGAGCAGCCCTTCTAAGACGAAAGCTGTATCTGTCATCCCACAGGACCTGCCATGTCGTAGGCACCCTTCTCAGGGACGGTAGGGAAGAAGAAAACCCAGATCTCATTCCTCCAGCCTGAGAACCAGGTCAAAGAGCTAAGCCCAGGCGTGACAGAGGTGTCTCCCCAGGGTCATGATCCAAAGGAGACCAAAGCCCCAGGATGATCAGTGAACAGTTACCTCCATGGCAGGCCCCGGGCATGTTCTCTCCTGAAACTGACAATGGCGTGGCTCTTTCTAAAACCCAAAACCTCCCTTCCTCCCCTCCCTCCCAATCTCATTGATTCATGAAACAAGTGCCACCAAGTACTACACCACTCTATCTGAAAGAGACACAAAGTGAAAAGTTGCTGCCTTCAGAGACCTCACAGCGTGGGAGAGAGAAAGTGAATCTCATCCATGCAGAAATGAGCCCCTGAGAGAGAGTATATTTTGTGGAGAAGAAAACAAGGAAGGGAAGAAACATATCCCCAGTCCATAAAAGCACTGCAGCTGCTTCCACGCACCCAGCCTGATATCCAAGGCCCTCCCCAGGCCCACGAGACGGGCCTGCTCGAGCCGTAGGCTTCCTCACCTGCGCCCCAACTCTGGGCTTGCAGACTGGCCACTCTGCTCGGAACGCTTTCCCTCACTGTCCCCGGTCTCCAGCTCAATTCCTGCAGGCCCTCCCAAGCTCTCTGACGGAGCTTTCGCTCCACTACGCCCACAGACCTGCCCGACCACACCCACCACTTGCCCACAGGAAGGTCACAGTCAGCTGGTGATGTGGTGACCTGGTCAGTTTCCCTTACTGACTTGTAGGCTCAAGGGAGCAGAGATCCTTGTCCCTCTGTTCACTGCCGTATCCCCAGCACCTGGCACAGGGCAGGCACTGGGGTGTCACTGAAGCAACGGGCGAGAAAATGCGTGAGTCGCCCTCCCACGAGCACTTCCAGGTAATGTGGGGGAGATGTGCCAGCCCCAGTGCCTGGGCCCCATGCCCAGACCCCACCTACCTGGCAGTATTAAAAATGTGCTGCTGCTTGTTCTCCTTAGGGCTCAAAATCACCACCACACAGCTGGAGAGAAGGAGAAAACATGCCCAGGGGAGAGAATTTTAGACAATCCCATTCCAGCAGAAGAGATCCCGCAAATACAAGTCCTTCTCCGGTTCCCTCTGCCTCTATGTGTGTCTGTGGGAGAAGTGCCGCCGTATTATTATTGTGATTGTTATTAATCTGCCCCGAAGTGGAAACCAACATGTCCTCATCCTCACAACTGCCAGCTGAGGTCAGGAATCTTAGTCCTTTTCACAGATGAGGAGACTGGAGCCAGAGAGCGAAAGTCCTTTGCTCGGGGCCACCTGGCAGGTCAGGGCCAGAATGGGGCTGTGAATCGTACTTGTCAGTCAATGGCCCAGCCCTGTCCTCTAAGCTGGACTGTTTCCCGAAGACTAAATAACAGAGTTCATCAGGAATGAATAGGGGTCTGCCCTGCCCTGCCCTGTGCCTCAAAGGTAAGGAGCCCCTTCTGTGCTAGAACTGTGCCAGGCCAGCTCAGTGCCAGCCCAGAGTGATGTCACTAGTTCTGCTCTGCATGCATCAAGCACAGGCTGGGCTCTGGGCACAAATTCAGGCTGCCCAATACCACGGCTGGCTGCTAATACCTGACCTTCCCAGAATTGCCACCGCCTCCATGAGCCGTCACCACAGGCTGGCAAAGTGCTCACGACAGCCCGGTTACTGTTCCGGACCCACGTGGCCCAGCCAGCTCTCGGAGGTGGGCATTCTGTGTGTGCCACAGATGGAGAAGCTGAGCCGAAGTTCACCAGCGAGCTGGGCCTGCCCCTCAGAGCAGTGGCTGCAGGCGGACGACCCCACCCTCACTCACCCTGCCAGGTAGGCCACATGGCCCGTGCTGGGGTCACAGGTCAGGCCGCTGCTGTTCTGGGCGGTGATGCCGAGCACCTTCTCAAGGGACACCTGCGGGGGGAGGAGGGATGGGAAGTCAGAAACACCTGCCTAGCAGGCTTTAAGTGGCACAGCTGCCTCAGCCAGTCTCTGTCCCTGCGACATTCAACACCCTCACCGAGCGTCTACAGTCGCGCTGTCAACATCTAGTGCCCTGACGAATACAGAGTGTGAGGTGGCAGGCATAGAAAGGTGGGGAAGACCAGCAAAATCCCTGCCCTCGTGGAGCTCACATTCTGGTGATGATGGGATGGAGGACACAGAAAATAAGCAAGAAAGAACAGAAAAAAATAAAAACAGGGAAAGAGATGTGGGTGAGACAGTGCAAAGTTTGGAGGATGCCACAGCTTATGGGCTCACACTGTGCTCTGACAATTGCAAGACACAGCTCCATTTCAGGGGCCAACAGTGCTTATTGACAAAGGGGTGCCTAAGCTAAGGAAAGTATTTACTTTTTAAAAAAAGATTTATTTCTACATACAGGCCAGAGGAGGAGGGGGGTGAGAGGAATATTCGCCAAAAACAGAGTAGGGAGCAGAACAAGCAGATCTACGGAAATACACTGCTGAGGGGAACACCGGGTGGGTCGGCAGAGGTCTGCTGTGCCATGTGGGTCAGCTCCCTGGCTGGGGATTGAACTCGTGTTGCAGTGGCTGCTGACAACCTCACAGTGCTGTACTTTAACCTGCTGTGCCACCAGGGAGGGCCGGCTATTCTACGCCAGGTAGCATCCCGTGTCTGATCATCCTAACCAAAAGGTGATGGTCATTCTAGGTGTTCAACAAGCAAAGAAATAAGTGAACAAGCATATTCAAAGTTTAAAAGCTCTTTAAGCAAACTAAGATAAATGGACCTGTCCCATCCTGGTTGAGCAAACAATTTAGAGTTTGGACTAACAGACTCATGGTATGTTCATATTTTAAGTGGACCAGTTACTAATTTATTATAAAGCAAACAGTCTCAAGTAGATCCTGGCCTCAGAATGGACAGGCAAACAGGCCAGGAACAGCTTGTGTCATTGGCATTTGCCAGGAGGTAGGCTAACTTTACCAGGAAGGAGCCGTGCCAACTCTAGCATAGGTAACCAGGCAATGATAGGGCATTTTATTATGTCAATCAGCATTACTAGGCAGTAGTATAATTGGTCATTTTTAGACTGGGTTTATTTTGGAAACCAGATGTACTCTAGGGTAAATAAATGACATCAATTATCCAAACAGAACAATAATAACTATCATAGCTCACACTAATAGAGCACTCAAAATGTGCCAGGTATAGTTCTAAGTGCTTAAGGTGATATGTGAACTCATTTAATCCTCACAAATAACCTATGAGGGAGCATTTATACTTTTATCTTTATCTCACAGATGAGACTGAGGCACAGAAAAGTGCACAACAGGAAAAACAGAATTGAGGTTATTCAGGCACCTGCTTGTAGCACTTCTCTATATGTTCTCTTGCAGGAGGTTTGAGAGAGCAGAAGTCAACCAGGCAGACTGCATGCAGCAAAAAGCCCAGAGGACTCACCAAACACAAGCGCTATGAGGCAGGTAAGAGCTTGCAGCCTCAGGAAGACAGAAACTTGTTTAGAATGAGAACAAGGGCGATACAGAGAGACGGTCTCAGGCCTTGCAGCCAGGAGTGGGTGACATCGTCAGGGTGGAGCAGTAAGATCCACCAGCAGCCACCATGTAGCACTTACTCAAGCAAGTCATTCACAATTTCATTTCACCTCCCTGCATCACACTGGCGTGATTATTGTTACAAAAATAGACTGCATGGCTCAGAGAATACAAAACGTTTTTAACTTGCTGTAGTGCTAATAGAATTCCTTGTATCTACTCTAAATTCTCCTTTGTTTCTGTCTCACGGTTTAGGGAACAGTTCAGTACTCTCTCCTCCCCCGGCCTTCAGGCAGAGCTAGTGAGATTTTACAAATATTACATCCTCTCCATAATTTTGAATGGCAGTAATAAGGGTCTCACCTTAGTAAGGGGGAAGGAAAGGGAAGGCAGTGAGGTGGAGGAAGGCAGCTTAGAGCTAAGGGTGAGTTGAAACAGTTGAGATTGAATCCTGGGAGGGACCAAAGACCCTGGGCCTAGGAGACCCAGAGACTCGCAGTGTACAGAAGGGATCGTAGGAATGCGGGACTAGGAGGGGCTTAGAATTAAAATGCACTGGAGGGGACAGGACCAGAGCAGAATCTGGGAATATTCCAAAGGATCAGGGTGGGGTCAGGGGTGAGAGGTGGGCTAGGAACCCCGCGCAGTTTCGATTGAGACGGGGAGTGGGAGGAGCCTCGAGGGGCGGGGCTTATGAGTCGAGGCGGGGCCAAGGAACTTGTGTGGGGACCAACCCAGGCTAGTGGGTGGGGCCAAAGATCTAAGGCGGGGCCGCGGAGTCTCGGGTACCCTGGGAACTGGGATGGGCAGGGCAAGCAGCTCCTCACCCGGTTCTGCACCGAGTCCTCAGGCGCCGCTGACAGTCGCGTCCGCCGCCGGAGGCAAAGCGGTGGAGCGGGGGGCGGAGAGGACTGGGTCCTCCGCCCCGGAACTCCCGCCATGACAGTTGGCAGCTTCTCGACTGCATCGTTCCGCGCGTAACCTCCAGCCCCTAAAGCCGCCATCGTCGCTCCGGAGCAGGGCGACCGTTACACGCCTCAACCGCCGCCGCCGCTGCCGCCGCCGCCGCCACGACCCATTCGAATAGCGAACAGCCGCGGGAAAGCCGGCACTGCCGCCCATTGGACGCGGCGACCTAACGCTCTGGCCAATCTCAGGGCTGCCGGGCGTTGCTTTTGACCAATGAGAGACAAGGGGCGGGGCGGAGCATCCCGTGGGGTGGGGTTACGGGGAGCCTCCCGGCTGATCGCTCCGGGTTAAAATACAATGTGTTTTCATCATTGACTGAAATGTACAGATTATAATTTTTACAAGGCTAAGGCCAAGCGTCGGCGCTGCGCTTTCTGCCATCTGCGCCTAGCTACTCAGTGCCAGTCGCCCGGATGTATGCGTACGGTGGAGCCCAAAGTGACTGAGGACCTGGCGCAGGCTCAGGCACGCAGTCTCGGCGCCCCTCCAACACGTGACAAGGTCAAGTGACTAAGGGTGTTGTGCGCAGGCGTACTGGTGTGTTCCGTTCATCACGTGACGAGGACGCGCCGTAGTGACGTAGCCAGGGGTGGTAACGCGTTCCACCCCCCGCACGTGATCAGGCACCAAGGACAGTCACGTGAATAGACGGCGCGGGCGGGGCGGGACGGGGCTCGTCTGCGCTCCGCGAGGGCCAGAGTGCAACTGCAGACCCGGCAGAACTCAACGGGGCTGGACGGTCATGCCCAAGTACTGCCGGGCGCCGAACTGCTCCAACACTGCGGGCCGATTGGGCGCGGACAACCGCCCTGTGAGCTTCTACAAGTGAGCACGGGCGGGCGGGACTTACTGGGGGGCGGGGCCTTGTGGGGGCGGGGTCCTCGTCCAAGCTGCAGGTGTCTAGAAACACGTTAGCGAGGTGGAGAGACGGTCTTCCCAGCATTTTCCCATCAGCACAGATCCCCAATCCTAGCAAGGTGCAGATGTGCGAAACAGCAGCTGTTGAATGGGGCGAGAGGAAGCAAGGGAACGCTATGTAGGGAGAAGAGGTGGGTCCCGGCGCTGTAAGGTTGTCCACGAATCATCATCGCTAGTTTGAGACTTATCCAAGTCAAAACATCTGAAAGCGAGCTCCTGATCGTTTCTCTCTCAAAACCTTTAGCTTTTCTTATCTTACTTAGTAGCTTACACTGTTTAAGGCTATAAACCTTAAAGTACTGCTTACCTCTTTATTCGCACTTGAGAAGGTAAAAATTATCTTAAGCTGTAAAAAACAAACAAGAGCCCCCCAAACTCTTATTCACTTAGCTGGAATAGCAGACTCGGAAAATATCAGGGGAGAAAAAAAATGCTGTATTTTTCTAGTGTACATGCTGCAGATGTAAATGACACATTCCCCTTTGAGTGTCTACAAAGGAAACTTTGTTCTCCAAAATCACACTGTCACTGCCTTGCGGTTTTTTGATTATATCAGTAAGAATGAAACATCTCACTTTCACATGGAGAATCAGCCTTGGTCTATAAACCAGCTGCACAGCCTCAGGTACGGGCTTTCTGGACACAGAATTCCACATTTTTCTGAACTTTATTGCTTCCAAACAGAGGAACCTGCACCCACTTTGCCATGAAGACCTTCTGTTGGTCCCTTTGACGCAGTTCTGCTTTATTTTGAGCCTGTGCAAACTGTTTCATGTACATTTCACTTAAACTTCACCTTCCAACCTAAACCCAAATCGTTGCTTTTGTGAGACTCCCCAACTCTGGTGTGTAGTCTTCCTCATAGCCACAGTAAATAAGCATGTCTTTGTTGTACTGAGGATTTGTCTCTGGTGGCCTTAGTCTAAGTGTGCCAAGCATATTCTTCATCCAGTCCATCAGCAAACCCTGCCTGGAGTTCTCCACTTCTTAAGCCCCTGCTCTGCTCCCCTCTCTGGTCCTTGCCACTTTCACCAATCAACTGCACTGTTTTACCAGCCTCCTCCTTGGTCAGCCTGTTCCCACAGTCTGTTCCCCTCACAGCTAACCTCTGCAAAAAACGAAGTGAGGGGCCTTCCTGCTGGCGAAGGGGTTGAAGACACAGTGTTGCGAAGGGGTTGAAGACACAGTGTTACAAAGTGATTGCCAGCATGAATTCAGTCCCTGTCCCACGAACTGACCACAAGGAGTTTTGCCAGCTGTCTCCCTTCTGCTCCCCTCAGCTGTGTATTTCAATCGATCTTCTCCCCACTCTGTTTCTGGTGAATCCCCTCACCCACACCTTTGGCCTACAACCTGTTCTTGTATGAATAAATAAATCTTTAAAAAAAAAAACCGACAAAAATAAAGTGAGACTGGAGCAGTCAGAAAGCAGGCCCACAAAGCCCCACAGGGGGCGGTTCTCCAAGGCCTGTGTGACCTCATCTCCACCCACGCCCTGCTTCAGATACTGGCCTGCTCCATGTTCCTCGAGCACGCCAGGCACACTCTTGCCTGAGTGTTTGAGGTGGCATCTTGTGGCTCTGATTTGCATTTTCCTGATGATTGGTGATGCTGGGCACCTTTTCAACTGCTGGTTGACTCATATTTGTATATCTTCTTTGGAAAACTGCTTATTCAAATCCTTGGTCCATTTTTCAATTGGGTTATTTGTTTAAAAAAAATTTAACAGGTGTTTTCAAACACACACACAATGAATACTCATGTATCCATTACTCAGTTTTAGCAGTTTAAGATTTTGCCAAACTTTTTCATCCCTCCTCACACCTTTAATGCAGTATTTTTTTGTTTTTGAAGGTTTTTTT